GGAGCCAGACTTCCCGGGGCAGCAGCTGGCTGCAGCCGGCCCAGAGCCGGCACCTCATCCTGCCCCACAGCCTCCAACCCTCTGTCCCACACGGAGCGGAGCGAGAGGTGCCGCGGAGCCTGTCCCGTTTCGGCTGGAGCGCCGCAGCCGGGCAGAGGGCCAGCCGCCTCTGCCATGCCTCCCTCCGCCCTTCCCGGGGTTCAAAGTACAGCCGGACACCTCGCTGCTCTGGGAAGGGCACACATTCGGCTGGCGCCTCGCGTTCCCCCTCCCGGCCGCCCCCTTTCCCCATGGCATGGTCTGCTTCCCGGCAAACACCGGGGACAAACGCGGCAGCAAGGGTCTTCAGCCTAGGGATTAGCACGACGGGGCAAGAGGGACGCGCTGGGAAACGTTCCGGTTTTGCTCCCCTTCGGGCATTTGCAGAAAATAAGGCAGCATTTGTTGCGTTAACAGCATGTGCTTTTCAATTGCACTTGACAAAAGCACCCGGAATGCTGAAGAATCATAAAAAATGTCTCATTAACGAAAGGCAGGCAGTGAATGAAAACAAAACAAAACAAAAAAGTCTAACCTCAGCAGAACCGTAGACAAACAAAATGCAAGCACACGAGAAGCAATAATAGGGATTTAAGAACCAGAGACAGTGCTGCAGGACAAGCGTTTAAGGCCATTTTTGAGGCCCGAGAGATGAAATGAGATGATTTCCAGGGGAAGCAAGTTTGCAATGTCTGGAGTTAACCAGCACAGCACAAACCCTGATTGACCTAATAACGACACGCTTGAAATCAGATGGCTCCGGCTCCCAATTCTGCTCCCTGCTCGTGTAGCGATTGGACCTGGGAGGAAAAATCAAAGGGAAAAAAAACACAGCAGAAAGCCCACTCCACACTTGGTTTGGACGCGGAATGTGTGTATATTCCACACCCGCTACTGCGGGACAAGGAAAGACTCAAGAAGCGGAGCTGCGCCTTGCTGAGCTAACCAGCTCTTGCTGGCTCAGAGAAACAGCAGAACAACAGAAAGAGAAGTCAGAGCTGAGATCTACCAAAAAAGTGACAGTATTGACTCTTCAAAAAGCTCCAGAGACAGTGTTTGGGGAACTGGCCTCGCTGCTAGTGATGGGGGCACAGAGCTCAGGGAAGAGCACGCACACAAACTCAAGGCAGCCATCGCAGCTAAAAATGTGCTGCAGGAACTCAGTACCTAAGAAAAAAGCAGCAGCAGCAGCTTCGGTTAGGGTCAGACCAAGATTAAAAAGTTCTTTTTCTGCAAATTTTACCCCAAAGAGCTCATTTTCTATGATTTCCCAGGCTCTCCCTTCTTTCCAGCCCCAGAGGTGTGCCGTGTTCACAGGCAAAATGAGCAGGGCTGCTCCCTGGCACGTAGTTTTGCACTGTTGCCGAACTAGACGCCGTTTCAACGTGTGAGACCCTGATGGCACGTTACTGCGTGATGATTAGCGATATCAGCCATTTGACACACGGTGTCACCGACCTGGAAATTTGCAAGAGCAGCCAGTGATTTACCGTTCAGGAGAGTACAAAACGGGCACATTCAGGAGGCAAGGTCCGTTCCTCTTCGGGAAACTCCACTCGGTGGTATAAAATAACATGTTCCGGAGAAGGGACTGGAAAGAGCTGAATGATCTTTTAAGACACCACTGAATCAGGGGAACATTGCCCCGTAGGCCTCCACAGCCTAACGTCTGGATCCCATGAATGGAGAAGAACTAGATTTAGAGCACCCACTCAGCAGCAGAGCTTAATCTTCAATTTATTGTGCAACAACTTTCTCCCCAAGTTCCTCTAAACACAATTACAGACATGAAATCGAATGAGGTTTTCATAAAGACCACTGTTGTTGTTTAAACATCGATGTCTTCCAAACTCTCCAACCAAAGGATAAACTTCATTGTTAAACAGAAAAACCAGGCAGGCAAACCAGAAGAGCATCAGACTGAACTCCTTAAGCAGGCACTGCCCCTCAGCCCCATTTCGGTTGCAGTATTATCCCTAACCGGACAGTCTGACTCGGCTTTGGACCCTGCAGCAGCACTCACTGCACAAATACAACAGTCAAGAAACAAATATAAGCGGGTTTGGGGTTCATTGTACTTGTGCTATTTTGCATACAACTAGCGAGGTATTTAATAGTGCGTTATCGTAAGAAGCGACTAGCTCCTGACGCTCACGTTACCAGTCAGCACCTCACTAGGAGGCTTTTAGGCTGTCATTTTATAACAACATACGTCTGCAGCTGCGGAGGAGTATCATCCTAAGACCACTGCCGGTTTCCCTATGAAAAGAAAGACTGCACGTCCCTTTGCTAGCTCAGCTTTCTCGGTGTATTGTTTAAATCCGTGATGCTTCCGTGTAAAGAGCAGCTAGACGGTGCCTCCTCCCACACACATCCCCTTCTGAAAGGGAACTTGCTTCACCCAACACATGACTTCGAAGTCAACTATGAATTCCCGAATGTGAGCAAAACCAACCACGTACCTCAGGACACCTGCAAGGTCCGCAAACCCTCACACCAAGAGAGTAACGAAGCAAGAGCATTTCCTCTAGCAGGGAGAGAAAAGCAGCGTGTACTAACACTTGCTAGAGATAAACTCAACAACCTCTTAAACACAGCCCTGCAGTTTTGCTCCCTAAAGCGCTACAGGATTCCAGGCAGACAGAGAGGACAGATTCCTACGTGCCTTTAGAAAGTGTCGTTTATCTATCGCATGGTCGTGTTCCAGATGGTACTCTTCACTCGGACCGGCTTCTCCAGGCCAGCAACAGGAATAGTGCTGCCCAGAGGTCTTCATACTCAAGGTTTGCCAAAAAGCACATCTTCATTTTGGTTTCTACCCGGCTTTTATCCACTAGTCTGTCCGTGAGCAAAGCGGCCGCAGACTGGCAGAGAAGCCAGGCGATCATCTGGTCGGGTTTCAGGGTCTTGGACGCTAGAACGCTTTCACCCCAGAGGCTTAGGTGAAGCACGTTAGCAGCAACTCTAGCAGACAATCTCTGCAAAAAGAAGGAAAGGGAAGATTAGCCGATCCTGCTGCAACCCTGTCACATCGCTAGCATGTAGCGTCTACACTGCCAAAAGTCCCCCGGGCCTCCCCAAAGGCACCGCAAAGTCTCCATGAATAAAAAAGCTCTTTGTCGCTATTTATTATCAGGCAGCTGCAGGTAACCCCCATCAATTTAAGGTCCAGTCCCTGCTACAAACATCCACTGAATTCACTGAATTCAGCGCCCGCACTGTACTTCAGCAAAGACCTTTTGCTTGTCTTTGATCATTATCTGGGCTGCAGCGATACCTGGATTACACCTGAGCCCTCTGGAGTGAAATGATCTATAAACAATATTCCCACAGGCTGGTTAGACGACTTCTTCACGACAAGTTTCTTACCTTGTTGGGATCCCTCTGAAGTAACATCTTTATCACTTGCTTCACCTCAAGGGGCACGCGATCGGGCAGGCTTGGCAGCTGGTCTTCACGGTAACTTCTGCTTTCCAGAGTGGAGTCCCCGTGGCCGTAGAAAGGATTGGCCATGCCGAGGATTTCATAGGCGATTGCTCCGACAGCCCAAGCATCGGCTTTGCTGTAGTTGATCACCGTGCCTGGACCAGGTGACGCCGTGATCACCTGTCACAGAGATGGCGACGTTCAAATAAACAGCTCGAGTATACGCTCTGTGCTAAAACTCATTTTCAAGGGTCGAGTCAGCATTTCCGCTGAAATAAACCGAGACTGAAATGAAAGCTAGATTTCATCTAAATCTCTGGTGTAAATATTCCCTATTGGCGTGCTCTAGACACTGCTCAGCCCAGCAGGACACTGGGAGGAGTTCGGTCATTGTGCCTAGGCTTTAGTCATTGCCCCTGACCAGCATTCACAGAGTCCCGAGGGTTATTCCGCTCTGGGATTTTAGGCAGACAGGAGACATGCAGACGAACAACCAACACTGCGCCGGCACTTCAGCAATGCAAGGCAAGGTGCTCCAGGTCAAGCAGACAGTTAAGGGTGTTTTCGCTTTTATTACGGTTATCATCAGAGAAATAAAAAGGAACTGTAAATTGTTTCACAACCACCTTGAACTTCACCCAAAACCTACTGTCGCAACACAAGGACTGCTGCATAAACCTTTTTAATAGCTACACAGAAAGCGGCCCGAGAAAAGACTGAAGAGCAAACTTTTTGTGGTAAAGGTCAAATCTGCCTCGTAACACCGACTGATGACGTTTCACCTTTTAGCGCTCAAGGTGGCTGTTTGACAACTGCTCAGCACAGGTCTGAAGAGATTTGGTTTTTTTTAATTCACGCAGAGATGTTCAGCAAGCATAAGTCAAGTTAGGACATGGACCTCCTACGCCACTTTACAGGACACAGCTCTCCATGAGGGAGCACAGGGTGAGATTAGTTACGCAGTAAACAGCCACAGGTCCCGTCTTGCATGACCGAGTTATGTCAATAAGCAGGAACGGGTAGAAAATGATCGATCCGATTGCAGAGGCTTTCGGCAGGTATCACTGCGAGCACACACCAGCTGAGACCACATAAGCAAGTGCGCACGCGGGGGGAAGGCTCGGGGACAAACCACAGCAAAGTGATGTGTACGCACACCCTCCACTGCTTCTAGACCTTCTAATCCCACCTTTTTTCAGGTTCCTGTCACAGCCTGCACCACAGGCTGAAACTTTTCAGTCCTGACAGCAGGACAAGCAGACAACCAGCAACACAAACCATTACTAGAGGGAGATTTACCTCGGGTGCCATAAGACAGCCGTTGCCGCCCCGATCCACGTAAGAGCTGGTGAAAGGCAGTCTCAAGCCGATGTTTTCATCTGCCAAACAGCAACCGAAGTCCGTGATGACCAGCCAGGGGCAACCAGCTGCGAACGACACGGGGCTAGCAGAGTTAGTGTTCAGTTCGGGTGTACCTGGCTGTATCAGACACCACATCACATGCACACCAGAGACAGTCTTCAGGAACAAGCTCAAAACCCCCAGGAATCAGCACATACACGCGCTCTTTTCCTGCTTCTCCTCTGTAGGTGAAATACTGGTTTTGTTAAAACAAAACTTTTTATTCCATTTCCTCTTTAAAAAATATTATTGTTCCCCATCTAACACGTGTCTCAAAAACCATCGCAGATGCCATCAAATGAAAGGCACTTAAAGTTAGAAAGTCATCCATGACGGAGGAATATATTCATTTTTTCCCCTTTGTTTTTATCTAAGCAAAAGCTACAGATACATAGATACACGCTCAGCTATAGCAAAAGGCTGGAGACCCTTTACATTTGTTACCAGTCCTTGTCCTTGGTGACAAGTCAAACATTGCAAAGTAGTATCATTACTTCTCCAGACTCCGACACGGAAAAATCGATGCTTTACATCATTCCTAACCACATTCAGCATTGCTCCACACCAGCTTTTCCTTACAGAAATGAAGGATGGCATTAGTATTGCTGAAAACCTTCCACAGCTGCTGCACCAAGACCTTTAATTACACAGATCCGGCTGCCTGCTATTGTTTCCTGCCCGTTCGAATCTCAATCGGGCTAAAGAAGAGCTCAGGTAATTCAAATCTCAGTTAGAGAGGCTGACAGGATGTCCTGGTTCTGGCAGGGATGGGGTTAATCTCCCCCGGAGCCGGCAGGGGGCAGGTATTCCATCCCAGGTGACCCATGCCCGGGCTATAAGAGGAGCTGGCCGGGGCGAGGAGAGCAGTCGCCATTCGGGGGTGGGCTGCGGCGGTGCGGGTCCGGGTCCAGTCGGTGCGCTTCGCGGCGGTACTGTAATCGCGTTTTCGTCTTTTCCTTTTGCTGTTCTGTTAAATTGCACTCTTTTAACCCACGAGTTTGGCCCTGTCATTTTCTTTTTCCACGACTGTGGAAGTTGTGCGAGCGGCTGCGTGGTTCTTTGTTGCTGGCTGAGGCCAAACCACGACACAGGAGAACAAGACGACGCAAACACTACTTTTGGCTTTAACGCTGTCGGTTCCTTGCCTTCCAGTTGATGTTTCATCATCCCAGGGTGCATCACTATCAACCTGACCCACCGAGAGGTGGGATTTTAAGAACCACGCTGTGCTATTTGGCTAGTGAGAGACGACAGCGCCAAGAGCCTGAAGCAAAGGCACCTCCAGCATCATCGATTTGGCGTTACTATATGCCCATCTGCTCCAGCCAACATTTGCTCTGTTTGTGCAACGCAAAACCTCAGCAATACTCTGCATCTCTCCATCTGATTACAGCACAACGCTCCTTTCAAGTCTGTTTTAATGATCCAAACCTGAGGCACAGACAGGATAAATGACTTCCCCAGTGCTGCAGTGACAGCAAGTGGTAAGCGAAAAACTAAACTCGAGATTCTTCAAAGGGTTTGTTACTCGTTTTTCCCCCAAAACGCACACCTGAGTAGGACCTCCCCAAATACCTACATGACTGCATCACTTCTGTGCCTGACTTAATTGGCATTTCTACTCAGCGATCTACATACCAGAATCAAATTCAACCAGGATGTTGTCAGACTTCAGGTCTCTGTGTGCGATTCCGTGTCGAACAAGATGGTCCACGCCTTCCAAGAGCTGTAAAATCATCATTGTGGAGAGACCAACATCCGGACTGTTCTCCCTCAGATACTGCCGCAGGGTGCATGGATAACTAGTCAGAACAAGGAAAACCTCTGAATTAGCAACCTGGAAGCTTATCGCCTGCGGTTCAACCTCAGTGCTGGCTGGCTGGGGATACAGCAGGCTTGTATGTGCCAAATTCTTCCTGACCTCCGCGACGCCTTCCCACCTCCCAGCCTCAACCTGACACCTCTCCCCTGTCTGCTGCTCTCAAATCCTCTATTTTGCAACAACACCCACCACTGAATTTTCAGCACTCTCACCCGAGTTCAACAACTGCGAATAAAATAAGCCTCTTAAACAGCATGGCAGTCATTCTTACAGTGGTCATTCTTACATGTTTTTATGTACTGGTGTTATATTTTGCATGAAAGAGGAGGCAGATTAATAATGCAGATTGTACGAGCAAAATGAGGAGATGTGCTAATCAGGAGACAGAACATATTCTTGAAATACAGAGAGGACAGAGCACTTCTCCAGACGCAGGCAGAACAAAGGACTGGGAAACAGAAGGTGCTTTTATGTCAGTGCCACTGAAGTACTCATTCAAAACCAAAACGCAACTGAGAAAGCCAAAAATGCCGAGCGCTAATAAATCTCATTACTGATTCTACTCCGTCTCTAGCAGCGTATCCGGACTAGGGGTGAAGTTCAGACTCAGAAGGGCAGACAAATGGGGACAAGCTCCACATTTCTTACTTTAATTTGGGGTAATTATTAAAAAGAACAGCTTGTCTTCATCATCGAACAAGAGTTAAAATCTCAAGGACTTGGAACAGGTCTTTGGAGGCATTTCCAAGAGCATACTCCGCTTTTTGGCAGCAGCCCAGGCTAAGTTTTTGCAAGGACCCGTGCAGCAGCAGAACACACAGCCCCACTGGGCAGTGTCACGAAAAGCCTGAGTCGCATAACAAGCTTCTCTCTACCTACTTCTTCATCACCAAGAAGAGCGTGCGGCTGTGACCGATCCCTCTGGGATTCAGGCTTAACGGAAGAACATCAGGATAGTCTGCGAAGGCTCCGGGCAGCAAAGGGACTGAGGATGTGAATGCTCGGATCACCTGGATTATATTTGGATGAGGCTGCAACTTCTTCCTCCCAAGGACAGGTTTTCTGCACAAAAGTGTAGATATCACAGATTACATCGGTCTCCTGGTCAGTTCTGATTTATCACAGGCACATCTCTGCTATTTCTGAAATAACTTTTCATTAATACGGCCCGTCCTCCCCACCCAAGGGTTCCAAAACAGTTGGAATAAACATGTTTATTCTGCAGTAAAAACCTTATTAGGGGGAGCATTAAGGTTTCCCAGTACAGATTACAGGACTGCACGTTAAGCAAATACTCAAACGTTCACATCCTGGAAACCAAACAGCGACAGCAACCTCCCTGCCCTCCCGGCCAATTTCCTAACCAGCGCCTCAGCCCAGCATTTCCCACGTTGATGCAGAGCACCCACAGCCTGAGCAGATCCAGCGCAGCAGCGGGCAGGTCCCAGCACTTTCTCCGGAGTCCAAAATCTACCCTGGTGCTTCCCACAGCAAAGCCAACCATCATCAAGGCAGTGCGGTACACCAGCAGAGGGTACACAGCCCAAGACTACACCTGTGGCTGTTGGGACTCTCTTGTAACTGGATTTCCCTATATACAATGGTTGAACAGGAAATACTGGTGCTTTACCAGCGCAGCAAAAGAAGCTTTGCTGGAAAACCTTACACTTAACATGCAGCCTTTAATTTTATTCAAACTCTACTAGCCCTTCCCTGCTGCTAACAAAGGCAGAGCTAGTCACAGGCTGCTTCTCGGTTCAAAAAGAACTACAACAGCAGCTTTAGAGGAAAAAAAAAAACCCAAACACAATTACTTTGCTAGACATAAAATAAAACTCAGCTTCACACTAGGCATATCAATTTAGACCCTCTATTTTATGGCAGAGGCAGGAAGCACTCACTACAATGAAAGGCAGGTTACCTATCTGTAGCTGCAAAGCAGATCTCTCCCCTCTCCTCTCCTGAATGTCAAATATCCCTTTGGCTGCTCTGTTGCATTCTCAGCGAGCGACGTACCACACAGCATTCATTATTCATTGGTATTGGCAGCTGAGATGTATTTGAAATTTAAATCAGACAATCTGGACTGCGGACCCCATTGTTTCAAATCGAACAAAAAGACGCGTTTTTTAACGAAAAGATAGCTAACTCAGGATAACTTAAAAGTTTCCGTCTAATTTTCCACCTTCGTCCTGTTTGCTCACTTCTCACTTGGGTGCAAGAGTGGGAACCGAGTCATTTTCCACTTTCTTTCTTGCCAGTTTCTACCTCCCTGCCCAGCACCCATTTTACAACCAAACCAGTTCTAGAATAGTACAGTCAAATTGTATGACAGTCAAATTGTTTGATGTTTAATACAGTCAAATTGTTACCGACTGCAGGTGTGTATTTCTGTAATTAAAAAGCACCGTGATGCACATTTAAATGATGTTTAATCAGAAGTAGATTCTCCCAGCCTTTAACTCCGCAGATATCAAAGCGTTTTACGCATGGGGAAACTAAGAGACGCGGCACAGAAGTGCTCAGCCACAGTCACCCATCAGACCGCTGGCAGGACCCCAGTTGGTCCCCAATTACTCTCGTGCCCTTCCAATGCCCTTCTGGACTATGCCATCAAAGCCGGCACAGTTTACCTGTAGGTATTCCCCCCACGCCAACAAGCTGTGCCACGAGCGGCTCCTCAGAGTAAACAAGACTGTGTTAAATCACTATTTGAACAGCGGTATTGCTATGTGGTTTCCTAACTGTGCTGGAGAAAAGCACACCGCAGAAGAAATCCCCAAGGCAGCCAGCAGCCTGTCCCTGCGTGATGTTTGAGGTGTGCGGCACTTCTGAAGGCACCGTCCTTTAGACAAAACACACGCATACTCCTCCTGAGCCATTAAGAATCCCAAGACTTTGTTTTTACCTACTTTCAGGAATTATTACAGAAACCTCTGGCCATCTTAACAGTACAAATGTGCTGCAAAATTAATTGCTGGGTAAAATTTGTGCGTCACCGTTTGAGAGCCGCCGCCGTCTCCATCGTGACTGTACCTGCGGCCAGAGACGGCTCCGTATTCTCCGGCTAAGGCAACCCCCGTGGCTGGAACAAGCTCTCGGCCCATAGCATCGAGGATGGCTTCACTTGACGAACCAGCCTGCAACAGCAATGACACGCCATGTTGGTTAAGCTCCAAAATCATCCAGCCTCAATACAGACTGAAAGCAGATAATCCCAACGCTGGCTTTGTATCTGGAGTTAGATCAACCGAGACTAAATCGAAGGGACTCCCTTCTCTACTTTGAAAATCAGGGAAGGCAATTAAAGAATTTACTAAGGCATGTGGCAAGGCCTTTACTTGCAGAAAGAAATCCATTTGTCTCTTCAAATGCATCCTCAACTGTTACCACTCTGAGCTATATGTTTACATTCACCATCAACTTCCAAACCTGACTGGAAAAGCCCAGTGCTAAATGCCAGGGTATTTCTGGAGCCCAAGGGATTTCAGATGTCGGCATTTTGGAAGTCTCTTCAAATATCCACTTGTCACATCAAGTGCCACAAAAACTCTTCCAAGTGACAAGCAACGTGGATCTTATTTTAAGTGTGAAATTCACAATGTGATGCACACTGAGGGTGTGGATCATCAGAGAGTCACACGGGCTGGGAAACACCAGCGCAGATCTCTCCCGTTCACTTCACGGCAAGAGGACCCAGCAGGCAGGTTACTGCCCTGCCCCTGTGACCACTGACTCGCACCTCAGCCGTGCTTTGCACAAGAAAATCTATTTCTGTCCTGACACCAACAAGGACACCAATTCCTAAAGCAGTGGCAGCAGTGGATTTCCATTTCTTACACCATGCCATTACAGCCAGCTTCAGAACAACTTCCTTTCCACAAACATCACCGCCATAACCAACAACTTCACCACCAGCAGTTCTCAATGCCAATTCCAGAGGAATGATGAACGCTAATTACCTTGCTCTGGGACCGCTCGCTAACAATTGACATCTCCAATGTCACATATCAACAGCTTTGTTTTGATACGCTCATCGTGCGCTACGTAATTAGTGCTTTCAACACTGAAGTGTTAAATATTTCAGCTGGACTTTCCCAGTGACAGACGAGGAGATTAAGAACCCACGCCTTACCGAAATGTTCCACATCATTTTGATAGCTAACGGAAAAGCCTCTTTCGGTTGGTGTTTCACGACGGGCTCCTCTTCAGCCGCCTGTGAGGCCGAGCCATGATCCTGCTGCACGGCCGGCCCCCGCCCTGCGAGATGGCTGCCCTCCGCACGCCCCCGACGATCGCAAGAAAAAGGAATAGCTGCTTCGTACACAGCGGCGCTGCAGCCCTTCCCGATGGGTTGGCCGATGAGATATTCTTCCAACTTGAAGCCCTGCCAGCGGAAGGAGCTCAGGGGATCTTTCTGCGGCTTGTTCTTTCCAACAAACACTGTCTGAAAGGAATAAGAAAAGACAATGATAAAAAAACCCGCTCGGTTATTCAAGACTTCCCAGCGAAGAACTCCCTTACTGTTTAAGTGGTATTACGCGTCCCGTTGGGTTGGTCCTACTTGAAAGGCACAATCAGGCTCTAACCATTAGGCTCAAATCACTGTAACCACAGGAAAAACAATTTGCAGACCATATATTTTTGTCTGAAACAAATTACCCCTAAAACAGTCTTTACCAAAGGTGCTCTTTCTGAAGGTGCTGTAGATGCACTGGAAGAAAAGGAATGAGGAGGGGGAGTCATTTGCTATTATAGAACATAAGTATGTTTTGTAAAGACAAGTCTAATTAAATACTTCTAAAAAGAGATGCTTTATTACACTTTTCTCCCCTTCCATAAATAAACCAGGCAAATAGCATTTAAGAGAAAATCCAATTAAGAGCAACAACAGATGGAAAAACAATGCCCTGAGCTTTTGCGGCAGCCGAGTATGAGGGCTAGTTAGTTAGAGGAAGAGTGAATCAGTGACAGGAGAAAGCTGGGGGAAGAAATCAAAAGAGACAAGAGAAAACAAAGCACAGGCGGGCTGTTCCAGAGCTTAACCACAGCGTTCACAATCCTGCAGGTCTGGTGGCACCCCAGCTGTCACCTGGACCCATATAACCAGGCGCACTTGTCTGTGTGCTACAACCCCGATGCACCGGTGGCTTCCCTAGGGATGTGCCCGGTGGCAAAGGGACACAGATTCAGGTACGGTGAAAGGGGGAAGACAACAAATTTAACTACCCAGCGAGAGCAGGGGATGGAAAGCATCCTGAGAAACTTCAGGGAAAGGCAGAACCTCTGCGGGAATGTGTTTGTCTGCCGGTTAGTGGGGCAGGTGACAGCTGGCTCTGAACACCAAAGGTCTATTTTTACTCATGAAATATGTTCAGCACCGTCCGTCCCCGGTGCCCTGCCAGCATGGCCTGTCCCAGCCTGGCGGGGCTCCCGTCTCTCTCGGGGAGAAGGGACGGAGCTGGGGGCTTCGCGCCAGCCTCCTGGGACACGAGACCCTCCATCACCAGCGCCCTCACCCCTCCCTTTGCGGGGGAACAGGGAGTGAGGGGCTCCCCACAGAGAGGACCCCCTCACTACCTGCTTTAGGGTGGCGAGGGGCTGATGATGCAGAGGCTTCCCCCGTACCCTATTTTTGGGGATGAAGAGGTGTCTGTGGGGCTGCCCACAGCTGGTCCCGCATCAGGGATGTGACTGAGAGCTACTCATAGAAGTGCTCTCCACCTTCCTTGGAGGGGGGAGATAGGGAGGTGTACCTGAGGGGCTCCCCACAGCAAGGACCCCCCCCATCTCCATCATGGAAGGCATCTGAGGGGCTCCCCACATTCAAGACCACCCCCTCCGCTTCACAGAGGGTGTCTGAGGGGCTCCCCTTCATGGAGGGCGTCTGAGGGGCTCCCCATGTTCAGGACCGCCCTCTCCGCTTCACAGAGGGTGTCTGAGGGGCTCCTCATACCAAGCCCCCTCCCCCGCCCCTTCACGGAGGGCATCTGAGGGGCTCCACACAGCACGAAACCTCCTCTCCCCTTCACGGAGGGCATCTGAGGGGCTCCACACAGCACGAACCCTCCTCTCCCCTTCATGGAGGGTGTCTGAGGGGCTCCTCACAGCAAGGTGACCACCCTGTCCCCACCATGGAGGGTGTCTGAGGGCTACTCATACCAAGAACCACCCCCCACCCCTTCACAGAGGGTGTCTGAGGGCTCCCCACAGCAAGGGCCACCCTGTCCCCTTCATGGAGGGCATCTGAGGGGCTCCCCACAGCAAGGGCCACCCTGTCCCCTCCCTGGAGGGCGTCCGAGGGGCCGCC